CAAATAGAATCAGTCCGTTTACAAATAATGAATGCAGCCTTAGCAACGAGTACGAAGGAAAGTCCTAGTGATAAGCCCACAAGTATCATAATGTGGTTACATTCCTCCTTAAAGACGTGACCAAAGTTAGTCCTTGAAAGTGAGCTCGGTCGGGAGGCACTATATACCAAGACGCCTTGCTGGATAACTTTATCAGAAAACGCAGTCACGCAGTAAAAAACCTGTTTTTAGGGGTTTCCATACTGTACTTACTCGGATGACAACAGAAAAATTGGATGTTGAGAGCATTAGGAAGTAAGTTACTGTTGTCGACCAAGTAATAACATCGCACAAGCATTTCTACCGAAACAAGTTAGAACTAAGGTGCAATGCCAGTTCATCAGCCGGGCACTGTGCACCTAGTGGGTCTGGTGAGTTCCTGAGGATTTACAGCATGTGACCAATTTAATGAATCTTGATTACGGAAACTGAGGTAGAAGGAGAAGATGCGATCGTTGGAACAATAAGTTAGTTGGCCCGAGTTTTCGGATTCTCAATTGAGCCCATCATCAACAGGAACCGTAGAAAGGTTTTTTTGTACTGCGGTTGCCTCTGATGATGGGTTCAATTGAGACTCCGAAACGTTAGCCCAACAGACTTCTTGTTCCAGCGATCGCATCGCCTTCGTCTAAACTGTTACCTGGACCTCCCTTGTTCGCTTCTGAGGCCGCCAGCTGCCGAAAACTAAGATGCTGCATATTTTATCTATTCGCCTAGCCTATTCCCGAAAATGGTTCATCTACATGCAAATGTAGCTAAAAAAAGAGACTGCACTATAAAGAAGAAACTGGGTTATTCCATTTTAATTTGGAAAATGAGCACTTCTATTTAGGGAAATTGAAAAAAAACGGTCAAACGTTCCCCTTTTTGCCTTGAATTAACCTTCGAAAAAGTGAAGTACGCAGACATTCGTCAACGAAAAACATGCTTAAAACACTTTTTAAAAAGATATCTTATTCTATAAAGCTCGACAATTGATCGAAGACATATTAGTTGCTGCCACTTGTTGTGAACATTCATTTTCCTCAGCGACGAGGTTTCATGTTTAGATGAGTCAACAACTATGGTGCAAACGGTCATCTACGTCAAAAAGAATAGCCATTAACCTAATTCTTAAGTTGACGCTTTTAGAGAATATCTTTTTTGTAGCTTTTGATAAACATAGGATCTACATTTGTGGGCATTCAATATAATAAGGCATAAGCCATAGGGTATTTACCACTTTTTTAAGGACGATCTGAAACTCAATACATTCCAATGCCAAAAATTGCCATAAACAAATTTTGCGGAAGGAACGTTTTTCCATTATAAACAAAATCATAGGTTTATACTTGCAAATGGCAATTTTATTTAGATGTATTGGTCGCCAAGGAAAATTTCACTTTATGCACTTTCCACTGCGCCCCTTTTGACGAAAGCAAGTAATAACCTGTCTGCTCTAGCAGACGCATCTTAAATAAGAAAAAAAAAACGAAAAACCGGCCAATTCTCGTGAAATCGTAAGGGAATGTATACTCTAGCTGTGAGCTGGTTGCTATGGGCCATAAGTGGCATTGCACTTATTCTCGAAGCATATTTTAATGGAACCTTCAGGAAAAAACCTGTTTTCAAACAGTGTTCTACTGGTGTAGATTTATTTTCTGGGTGTCTCACAAAGGCAAACTTTTTATACATTTAAAATTTTAGTTTCTTCAGCAACAGCAATGTTTACTCATCCTGAATTTGAATATTTTTTCACTAAAAAGGATGGCATTTCTAAACAAAATGGTATTACTCTCAATATTCTTTTTCAATTCGTCTGAAAATTTTTATCACCAGTTCACAGCTTCGGTCCATTCTTTGGTGCCAGTTTGCAACTGCTTACCAACCTTTTGTAAATTTCGGCCCTATGCACGAAATAGGTCACATACTGTACATTCAACGCATGAGTTACAGTCCACTTTAGGGCACACTCCGGAAAGCAAATCCCAAGAGTGCTGTAATACTTGACCGGTGGTAATGTTCATATATTTTATTTTTAATTATTATTTTATTAACTTATTTCATAAAATTTATTCTTTTTTGCTTTTAATTCATTTTTCAATTATCGCACGTTTTATCGTTGCCTAATTTTCGCTTTTTTTCCAAATTCATCCACTATCTGCCGTTTTTTGACATATTTCTTTTATTTCCTTTTCTGCGACCACGTAGTGCCCAACCCGTATAAACCCTATCGCCACCGGCCCCGTATTACAGCATTCTGGGGTTTTGGTTTCCGTCTTGAGCACTATAACATATTTTTACCCAACGCTCTAACCACCTGATCCACCAAGATCACGCTTCATCGACTGCGATTAGTAACATATGATGTTAAAGTGACGTTTGCTGATCTCTCCTGGTCGCAGGGCAGACTTTTCCGGTTGAAGTGCCATCTCGGGACGCTAGGCAGTGAGCTTATAGGCGTATTGAAGTAGGACGCAAGCTATTAACCATTTCGGCCCAACTTAATCTTTCGCTGTACGAGGCTGAGATGGATGAGGTAGATTAGCCTGTCAAA